TGGTTGTTGGTTGTTGGTTGTTGCTTGTTGGTTGTTGGTTGTTGCTTGTTAGTGTGTGTTGTTGTGTGTTGTTGTGTGTTGTTGTGTGTTGTTGTGTGTTGTTGTTTGTTGCTGCTTGTTGATGTGTGTGTGTGTGTCTGTGGTGATGTGTGTTGCTGCTTGTTGCTGCTTGTTGTTGTTTGTTGTTGTCTGTTGTTGCTTGCTGATTTTTGGTTGTTGTTTGCTGTTTGTGGGCGTTGTTTGTTGTTGTGTGTTGTTGTTTGTTGTTGTTTGTTGTTGTTTGCTGATGGGTGTTTGGTCGTTGTTTGTTGTTTGTTGATTGTTGTTCGTTGTCTGCTGTTTGATGCTTGCTGTTTGCTGTTTGTTGGTTGTTGTTGGTTGGTTGTTGTTTGTTGGTTGTTGATTTTTGATTGTTGTTTGTTGCTACGCATGAGTGTTGTTGTTGTTGTTGCTGCTGCTGTTGTTAAAGCTGTTGCTGTGGTGGTTGTTGTTGTTGCTGCTTGGCTGCTGGATGCTGCTGACGCTGCTTGCTGCTGCTCGCTGCTGCTGGCTGCTGCTTGCTGCTGCTGGCTGCTGCTGGCTGCTGCTGGCTGCTGCTTGCTCTTGCTGCTGCTGCTGCTGCTGCTGGTGCTGCTGGTGCTGCTGCTGCTGCTGCTGCTGCTGCTGCTGCTCGTGCTGGTGCCGGTTGTGGGGGTGGCGGTGGCCGTGCTGGTGCTGGTTGTGGGGGTGGCGGTGGCGGTGGCGGTGCCGAACATTGGTGGTCCGGAGGTCCTGAAGTGATAAGTCTACCCTTGGCCGTACCTCGTGCACTCATCTTCGTCATTGGCCACCCCGTCGCCATCATCATCCTGATCCTGGTAACATGCATTCCAAACGACGGCAAGGTTGGGGAGAGAAATTGTCGACAACCTGGACAAGCAAAGGAGCAGGAGAACTACTCGAATGCTCACGACGACGACACCGACGATGGTCACTATCACGGCAAGATAAGAGTGATGCTGACAGTCACAGTGAGGATGAGGGCGAGGGACGACTGATGCTGGCGTGGTGCTTGCGCACGCGCAGGTGATGATGAGCGAAGCCGCAGCGGGAGGCAGGAGGAGGGGAGTAGGAGCAGGATGACACTGACTGGCAGGTGTTTGCTGAAAACTAGGAAGCGACCTCGCAGGAAGATGCATGCCTTCCCACGAACTCAGTCAGGAAATGGTGGTGAGAGTGACACTGACGACAGTACTATGGCTCATGTCAGACAGTCAGAGGCCGCATCTCGACCACATGAAACGGGCTCCTCCACGCCATCCTTGCAGCCGTCCCCGTCAAAGTCGTTCAGAGCGTCCGACCTCTTCGTTAAGAATTTTCAGAGCTAGGAAGCGCTCCCCGTGCGGCCCACCGCGCTGCGACGTCACAAGCTGAGAAGCCGCGGCCGGATCTGAAAAGTACTGTCAGCGAAGCTCCAGGGTCTTGCCACGCCCCGTTCGCTGCGGCTACTCGGACACTAGACATTTGTCAATGGGCGCAGAGATGTCCAAGAGCTTGGCACGAAGTTGTACTGCTGAGGAGAGAAAGGACACCTGGCACCAGCAAACTGCGGAAGAAGGCTAATTCTCTTAACGATGGTCTTTACCTTGCAGCGTTCCCCAGACATGTCTGGTACGTCGCGATCGGAAGTCATGAGGCCAAGCTCGGCACCAGAATGCTGACATGGTTCCCAAACGGTATGGTGAAAAAGTCACCCCGGCCACCCCTTCCCTCACATGCGCGGGCTTCGGGGTAGAAACTCTGGCTTCGATCCGAAAGCCCACACGGGATTGCTTGCACTGCCCAAGCAACTGGAGCCGGCAAACGTGCCTACAGCCTTGCTGGACATCACTGGAAACCCCTCCATCCCTTTTAGCCTTCAGGCCTGTCCATTTTGTCCTCGACTCCGTCGTTGTCCCGGTCTTGATCCTCGACTCCGTCCTGCTTTGGCGGACAAATGTCCAGACTGACGAGATTCGGCAGGGTCCTCGCAACCGTCGCCATCAAAGTCCGAGGCCCTTCCGGAGATCCAGCCTTGAGTCCACGAACGAAGCCAACACTCTACACCAGTTGGTCTGAAGAATGCGCCACGGGAGCATCGAAAGGATGCGCTCCAGAAACGCTGAGGCCGTTGCGCGACTGGCCGCCCTCCTTGCATGCCAGAACCCGGCTTATTGTGCGGCCTTGCAAAGCCTGAGCCTCGCAGACTGAGGAACATTGAGGAACGACCTGCCTGCTAACTGCCTCGCATGAGCTGGGCCTTCTTTTGGCCCGGACAAAAGTCATGATGATCCGGGACCCCGTCACCTGGCGTTCAACACAACACTGGGCCAAAGTAGCTACAGTACTCGCGACGGTCAAGTGACCGTCGACGCAGATTTCAGAGAAGTAAGGATCCTGCCGTCCGTGTCGACGCCACGGATGTCGTCTAAATGGCTTCGTTCGTACCTGCCGACGGAAGCTCTGAACAGCGCAAGGTCGCAACTTTTGCAGTCGCAGCTGGGGCAAAGAAGCTCGAAAACCGGAACTCCAAAGCTCCGAGCCCCTACTCAGCTCTACTCCCAAACATCGCCGGGACACAGCGAGGCGGAGCGATCAGGACTGGGCGCGGGGGCGCCGCCTCCCAGGAGCTTGGGGGAGAGGGGGAGGAGTGTAGAACGTAACCGGGGGGAGGGGGAAGGGGAAGGGGGGCTTTAGGGGGTTTTGGCCTCGGCTGGATTCTACCCACGCAAACTCCCAAGCGTGAGAAAGAAGCCCAAACACTACAATAGCAGTTGCTCGCCAGGGTTTTGGGATGGGATTCCCAGGATCATGTTGTTCAGTAGTTGAACAAGATTGAGCAGCGGCTGTACCGAGTACCAATCTGAGAGCTGCAGGTGCATCTTGCTCAACGTCCCCGAAGCTAGCAGAATCATGAAAGTTATCTTCAGTTTGGAATTGTAACACTCGTTGTCACTACCATGGTGCTATTAATGTAAAGTGAGGCAGCGAGGCTCCTGTGCCGAGCCAATTCTGGTACAGGGCCGCGTTGACAAGCAGAGAGGCAAGCAGCAAGCCCACCACCTCGGCAGAACACAGATGGCTGTTGATTCTGTTTAGACGGCACGAAGCCAGCAAGCGCAGCTGAGCAGGTCAGGATGAGCATGGTGACGATGACGATGACGCTGGTAGTCATGCTGAAGACGATGGCGATAATGTTGCTGACGTCGTTGTTGTTCTCGATGATGATGATGATGATGATGATGAACATCATGATGATCATGATGATGATGATGATGATGGCGATGATGATGATGATGATGGTGATGACGATGATGATGATGATGATGACCACAGTAGTGATGACGGTGATTTTGATGGTGATGATGGTGATGATGGTGATGATGACGATGACGATGGTGATGGTGATGACGATGACACGTCTTACGGCACTGGGCAGGTTTAACGGTATCAGTAGTGCAAAAAAACGCCTACATGAAGCAAAACAAGAAGCACGGCGACACATCGGATGAATGCATGACTGGAGAACTGCGTAAAAACGCAATTGCAAGAGCAAGCAAGCAAGCTAGCAATCATTTTCGTAAGTAAAGAGCTGAGCAAGCAAAGGCAGTCTACAGTCGCCATGATCGACTACGATTGTCATGATAAAGCATCACAAGAAAAGCACGAACTGTGTGGGGTCTGTAGCTGCATCCAAGCATTGCTGCGGAGGATCCCCTCTGCACAGAAGCAAACCAACAGGCAAACAACACCAACAAGGATAGGCGTTTAGACCAGTCTGAGCTGCTGTCATGACCAGCAAAAAATCATGATAAGTCTCAGCATTGAGACTATGGCTCTGATCGCTGCACTCGAATGAAAGACTCGTGCTGCTGGTCCCAAAAGGATCCAAAAGGGACGGTACTTATCCGGTGGGGAGAGGGCACAAGGACAGCTGCGGAAACGGTAAGTGCTCAATCTTGAGGCTTTCAGCAACACCTGACCAGTCGGCCCTCGAATCAGAAATTCGAAGATTTGAGACCGGGAGCCCTGAGGCCCTGGCGAAGAAGAGTGCTCCGATGGCGAAAGCTCCTGGGGCTGCCTGAGCAGCCTGCGCCTGGCAGACATGCCCCTGCTAAATTGCCCCAGACTCCTAGACCCGGTATGCACGAAAGACAACGGGCGAGACTGAAGCCAGAGCCGAGCAGACCCGAGCGGAGCAGCCCTTCCGGCCTGATTGGCGTAGGTCTTCGTCCTTTGCTGGTGCGAACCGGAGCTCTCGAAGACAATGTACAGGCCCCGATGTCTGCAGGCTGCAGAAATCTGCAGCAGGTGCTGAATGACCTTGCCTCGAATTCGCACAGCCTACACTCGAAGCTTGAAACCCTGAACTTCGAAGGGAAGCCTCGAAGCCTCAGCTCCCTTGACCTCTCCGGCCGAGCACCCGGGCGGAGGTGGTTCTGGCACAACGGGTGGCAGACCTGTCGTACGCAACTCCAACCGACTCCTTCAACTTCAAGACTGAGAGCTGAGAGGTGCCGTGCTGCCCCTTCCTTTGACTCTAACAGTCGCTAAATCCCAAGCATCTCGGACTTGCCTGTGGGCCGCTGGAGCTGCGTAGGCGCAGAAAGTTGCGGCGAGACCCGGACTCGGTGGGCACGACTGCTACCTAGTATCTGAAAGCTCACTGTCGTCATCACCATAAACTTCGTAAGCTCCATCATGGTCAGTCTGAGCTGTGTCATCGCCAATACCATCATCCTCATTCTCATCCAGATCTGCATTCTCATCCGCATGCGCGTCCTCATCCTCATCCTCATCATCGTCATCACCATTGTCACAGACATCGCCATCCTTGTCTTCAGCACCCCGCAAACAACGACCTCAACAGTAATGGCACAAAATCAACAGAATTAATCTCATCCATGTGCACCTCTCATCCCATCTATACTTTTGTGGGCTCTTTAGACATGAGCCTGTTTGTCACGATTGGTGGTTCGCTGGCAGTCCACGATAGGACTCGACAGGAGCAATGCTCTGAAAGCATGACCACAGATCCGGTGCTTCAGCTCGAGATCTGAAACCTGACTAACCCGGCCTTCCAGCTTGGCACCGTTTGGTGTCTCGCTCAATCCATCGGTGACCAGTTGCCTGCCACAATTCCTCAGGCCGACAGATACATGATTCCCTCGGCTCAGAATACAAACCTCTGACGGAAATCACCGAAGGCTCCTGCAGCAGGTTCTGTAGAGAGCTGAGCTCGGCTCGCTTCAAACCGCTCTCGGGCCCAGGCCAGCATGTTCTGCTGAGAACGCCGGCGGGGAAAAGCACAGTGGTGCCACACCTCGGGAATTACTCCTTCGCAGCGCCAAAACACAACAAACCTCTAGCTTTTGCTACAGTATAACACTTCGAAACGACTCATGTCGCTGAAGCCAGCATTGACCCCAAATAATCAAAGGGCACCTAGCAGTCCAAACGACCAAACGAGCATGGCACTGTGCGGAGAGTTAACACGCAAAGGACGGTGGCGGGAAGAGCACATTGCGGCGGGAGCCGCAGAACTGCCTCGGGTGCGGGCCGTGCCGCTCGGCTCAGCTAGCCAAATCCTTTCCCTGAATGAAGACAAGACCCCATAGTCCCATAGTGTTACCCAGTTTGATGAATCAAACTGGTCTAATTCTGCCCAAGTGCCGGCAGATCTGCTTCGCCACTCCAGCACCCTGCGAAGGGCTCTTCAGCGAGGTCGAGGATGCCACGGACGTCTGGCGAAAGAGTGCCCATAATGCTCTTTTCGGCAAACATCATCCACCTCGTTACATGTCATTGCTACGCGTTCGGCGTTCGACTGCTTGCCAGTACCGCAGGATGCCAGATAAAGAACCACCACCTTGCTTGCTCCCATCGCCTGAAGTCCCCCAAATTCCTAGGTGAGAAGAACAGAAGAACCCCAATGCTCGCGCAATCCCAGTCCCAGTCGACCCTGCTGCTCCGTCGCGAGCCGCTCAGGCCCGGCGAGGGCGTGCGTGTTTCCGCCGCGGCGCCTGATCTGCAACGAGGCCGACGCGGATACAGCTGAGCACGAAAAAGCCCTCCACAACCATCGCTCCCAAGCATGTCTGCGCCTGGAGGCTCCAGAAGGACGCTGGTGCTCTCGAGCGGCCTGGAAGGATCCGGGTCGTGCCACTTGGGAGCGCCATTTTCCCAGAGCAAAACTCCTCCAAAACGTCCCTGTACTACTGAGCCTTGGCCGCAGAGGAGCCAATCGGCGCTGCGGCTGTGACTCCATTCCAGCCCTTGTCAAACAAACACTGCCAACAATCGCCGTACAATGTACCAGCAAGCAATGCAAGCAACCTAACCGGCAAGATCACACAAACAAGCGCGCCCATGCGGCTTACCGACCTTTCAGGCGCGATGTTCGGCACAGTCATGGCAAGTACCCCCAGCTGTTGATGTAATTCCACTCACAATTAGCATCCCTGAGCCCCGCCGAAGCATCTCAATCGCCGGCACCAGCCATGGCCAACGGACACAACCGCTGGGGTTTTGCTTCGGGGATGGGTTGAGTTGGTTGGGTTTGCTGAGGGTTTGGTTTGGCCAGGCTCTGCGTGGGTTTGGAGAGGCTCAAGGGTTCGAAACAGCTTCGACCACGGCTGAAAAAGTTTTCCTGGCTAAGGTTGCTGCGAGCCTACTTAAAAACTCAGGTTTCTTGTGATATCTTGTCCGTGTGCTCGGGCCGAGAAGCCAGCCGCACGAAAGACTTGCGAGTTTTACTAGGGTGCCCAAGCCAGCGAAACTTACTTCTGCGGCTTGCGGCTGGAGCCTCCAAGATCAGCCGACCGCTTCACAAGCAGCAAATTCGGATATATGCTATAGATCTGGAAAGCGGGCTGTCATGGGGCCTGGGTTTTAGGTTGTATGTTGGTTTTAGCTTTTAACACTATGCTACGCACTTATGCATGTGTATGTATGTATATATATATACATACATACATACATATATGGGGCCATGAGTGTACATATTCATGTGATAGGTACATACACACATGAATAGACACGCATATGCATACATTCCCACGTTTAGACATACATGCACACATGCACACACATGCCTGTACGTAAACAGCTTATGTGTTTGGATGATCATGGTACGCATACTTACTAGTTGTGGTACACTGCACACAGCACACACACACACACACCTGGCCACTTCCGACAAAATGAAACAACACAAAGTATTTCATGAATCGTTCTCGCTTATTTTACAACTTGGACTCCCCGAAGTCTGTGGCAAAGTTCTGCCTGCCATGTTCTGATTTTCTTATGTTTTGAGTTGGCGCGTGTCTGCGCACAACAGTACACAACCACACGTCTCTCTTTCTCTACAAGAGAAGGCTTCTTATAAGGTCGAGAGTCTTTCAGA